GAATAGATAATAAAAAGTTATTTAATTCCAATTATTGATATTCAAGTTCAGAATATTTTAGTTCATGTTTGATAATCATTTGATTTTTTATTTTTAGTTTTTGAAAATTTGGATAATAAAACACTACTTTCACTCCTAAGTTTCTATGTTTTGTTATCCATTTTCTAGAAATGTTTAAAAAAAAAAAACAAAGCCAAGTTTTGAAAAAGAAAAAAAGTAGTTCTTAAAAACTTGTTTTCAAAATTCAACTAAGAATTCAAATGATTAAGAGAGGTGAAAACCATGGTGAGGGTACAACCATGATTTTCAAAAATAGAAAAGCGGAAATGTTTGTATACTGAACGGGCCTTAATAATGAACGATGAACTAGAATATTTATTTATTTATCTTATGCTGGAACCTTATTGAACAGTGAAGTCAACACTGATGTTTTTAGGGTACTTGTAGGATCTTTATTAAGTTCGGGGCCAGTCTCTTGACTTCATTTTCTTTTTTCCCCTCATTTCTCTTCCTTCCTTCCTGGTGACCTTCTATTGCAGTCAAAAATTTGGCGAGATAGCTTTTTGTGCAATTACAGCTGATGAGCAAGTAAAAGGATACGGTACCAGATTGATGAATCACTTAAAGCAGCATGCACGTGATGTTGATGGCCTAACCCATTTTCTCACATATGCGGACAATAATGCCGTTGGCTACTTTACCAAGCAGGTCTAGCGGTCTATTTTTGAAATACTTATCTTGCTGGTTGTTTTATACTGCTTCTCCATTCATTCACATGAAACTTGTTTGGTTTTCTGTCCGAGAGCCGTTTTCGTCTTTATCAGTGTACTAATTGACATATAAAAAAGGTTGGGATGAGGGTAGGAATTTCGACTTATGGAGATAAATTGTAAACTTGATCAACTATAAGCAACAAAACATTGTCTTTAGATGCCTGCTATTATTTTTATTTTTATTGCTTTTCAATACTTAGATTGGCCATTCACTTGCAGGCATCTTGTGGTATGATCATTAAGGTATACTTTTTAATTCCACTTGATAAAGGGATTGAACCTAGATCATTAGAAACAAAAACTCACAGACTGTCAGTTCATCATAACTCCTACAGGGAGTCTTGTACATTCGATAACAATTTTTCTTATTGGCCAAGAGGGTAGATACACCGGAACTAAAAGCATTTTTTCATTGTCTTTTTTATTTTGTGGTTCTTATCTTGAGGGCATTCCCGTAACTTCTTGTACTGAGAGAGGTATGAATTTCATTTAAGAGGTGTTTGTAATTCTATAGGATCTTGGGCATTTTCGTGTTTAAATATATCTTTCACTTGTCTATAATCAATCTTCTTCTTGAATGCCAGATGTCAAAATGAATGATTGATTGACTTGAGCCTTAAACTTGTAGGGGTTCACGAAAGAAATCCACCTGGAGAAGGACCGGTGGCAGGGGTATGTCACAAGCATCTTTATTATTTTGAAGATTGCCAAAGTTTTCTTTTCGTATCTTTTGGGACAAACAATGACATATACTTCTCAGTATTCACTCTTGTATTTTGCAAGTATCCATTTCTCTTTGTGCAATGTTTTAAAATGCTAAATGTGGCTACATGACTTTTTCTTTTTTTTTTGTTTTTTTTTTTTTTTTAATTTTTTTTATTGACATAAAAAAGAATGAAAATACCCATGTATGACTAAATAGTGCAATTAAATATCAGTTTCAAATGTACCCAAAAGTCAAGGCTAACAATAAAACACAGTAATAATTTTGAATTCTAAGATCTCTCTTACAAAGCTAGGTCAATCGAATTTTTTTTTAACTACTTATTCTTTTCAGGTACATTAAAGACTATGATGGAGGAATTCTTATGGAATGCAAAATCGATCCAAAACTTCCATACACTGATTTGTCTACAATGATTCGCCGTCAGAGGCAGGCAAGATGTCTTGATCATTGCACATTCAAATGTGTAGTTTTAATACAATTTCACGTTCATGCAGCTATAGATGATTGAAATCTGAAAAATGGATGAAGCTTTAGTTCTTTTAGCTGGATTTTTCTTTCAAGGGTTAACATGTAGTTCGGTTAAAATTTTATTTCCATGCAACTACGTTCACAAAGTTACATCTGAACTTGCCAACAGTAGTGGGAAAAAATCCTCTACCACTGTGACATTTGGTAGGGTGAGCACCACGCCTTCACAAAGTTCAGTACCCTTAACTGGTTTGATGGTCTCCCTTATGACTCACATATCCTGTGGTACTCAAAAGAATTTTTCATTCTTCTTCACCCACTCTTACAAAATGAAGTTGTGGGTTGTCCGTCTCACTACCAATTTGTACCACCACCATCTCAATGCTAGTTGGCCTTTGATCTTTATGGTCTCTAGTGAATCCAACCCTCAAATGGGTTGAGCTGAGTTGACTCCATTCCCCTTTTGTTTATTCCATTAATAAACAGTCGTTTCAAAGACCGGAAACAACTCAACTCAACTCTGGGAGTGCACCAAAGACATAAACTACCTAAAAATTTTGTGTTAAGAGTTACTTGGTAATATTATTTAAAAGAATAATTTTGTCAAACTTAAACTTGGATAATTACTAATCAGAAGTAGTTTTATAAGAATGCTTGTGATTGGCTTGAACTAGAAGAATCTGGGCAGAGGTGGAACATTGAAATGTTAGCCACTTAGCACTATCGATTTGACCAATTCTTTTAATGGTTGGGTTGTAGTGTATATATATTTTTGAACTCTTCTCTCTTGTTGAATGTAGGCAATTGATGAGAAGATAAGAGAGCTTTCGAACTGCCACATTGTTTATCCTGGACTTGATTTACAAAAGGTGTGATTGTCAACGTCAGTATTTTATTACCTTCCTTTTGTCCTTCTAGTTGTAGTTTCCTCTTGGCAAAGAGATAGGCTGTTCCACTGGAATATGTAAACCTTTTGTCTATTTTTCTTTTTATTAAAACTCTTTTTAATTTTTCTCATGTTGTGATAATTAAGATTCCATTTTCCTCTCCTAATCGCAAAGTCAAAGTTTCCTCTTAAACTTTTCTTTTTCCTAATTTTATTGAGTGATGAATTCCTATTTCTGTATTGAGTCTAATCGAGTCTTGGTTGTTCAGAAGGAGCCAGGAGTTCCCAAAAGATCCGTCAAGGTTGAGGAAATCCCGGGTTTGAGTAAGATTCTACCTTTGGTCTTTGAGTTTGGTTGTGGTTATCATTCACTTCTTTGGCTTGGTTATCCTGCAACAAAAGTACTTTACAAACTATTCCTAACACCAGAAAACCATTTTAGTTTTTCATTCTCTAACACCAGAAAACTACTTGCTTTATCCTTGAGGTTTCTTTCTCTCAACGTTTTGGAATGGTTTAGATTTTTTACTACTCTCGCTACCAAAAAGGTTCTTCACTTGAGAATAATTTTGATGGCATGCTACTTTTGACAATAGAGGAGGCTGGATGGACGCCTGATCAATGGGGCTTCTCACGTTACAGAGCCTTAAACTCTGCTGACGGGATCTCAAATCAAAAGCATTTGACTGCTTTCATGCGCTCACTTCTCAAGGCTAGTTTCTTGTTCAAGTTTACATTGTATTTCCATATTTATGTACTAGTTTCTTCTATTTCTTGCGTTGTCCTTGTATCTGTTAATTTATTCTTACTGCTATTTTCCACCATACCAGTCAATGCATGACCATGTTGACGCTTGGCCATTCAAGGAACCGGTGGATTCTCGTGATGTACCTGATTATTATGAAATCATTAAGGATCCAGTGGGTAAGAACTCCCAACTTAGCAAATTCGTCTCCTGGATCTTTGCTGCATTCTTTGGATCCCTTGTAGTCGTGTTATTATGTGATAGGTCAATTTGTAACTTTTGATGACATTCAAAAAAATCTCATTATTTGACCATAATGCTGTAGATCTAAAAACGATGGCTAAAAGGGTGGAGTCAGAACAATATTACGTTACTTTCGAGATGTTTGTCGCAGATGTGAGAAGAATGTTTGGTAATGCGCGCACGTACAATGCTCCCGAGACTATTTACTACAAATGCGCAACAAGGTACGATTACCTCATGTTAGCTTTGTGTTTGTGTACCTCATGTTGGCTTACCCAAGTTATTTGCAGGCTAGAGGCACATTTTCAAAGCAGGCTTCAATCAGGTCTACAATCTGCCAACAAAGTTCAACCATGACGGTTGCAATGAAGATGCAGCTTATTAGTTGTACAGATCCTTTTTCATTACAATCAATTATTCTAGCATCTTATTCTTCTAACCCTGCTTCTTAATTGTTCAGGGTTAGGATTGTGTAGATCAAGTGATTATGTCATATCATATCTTCTTGGATAGAGTTTATTTATGAGATAGAGCGTGGCTTAGATTCTTGGATGTGTTTGAAGGGTTCATAAACGGACTTCAATCCTTGTGTTTCTACTAGTAAGCCTTTGCTTGGTAATTTTAATAGCTAGATTTAATGTCATTGTGCTACTGCCACTTTAAAACAAAACAAAATAAGAGAAAAAAAGAGTTGTACTCTTCTGACCCATTGAGATTAAAATATTTTTGTAATCTCTTTCCTACCTACAAGTAAAATTGTTAGAATTGGTTTATGGGATTGATAAAAATTTGAAGTTTCAAATTGTAGAGACCATCTGTGAATATTATCAACTGCGATGAAATTTTATTAAATGAAAACGTAGAAATTCTAGCTTTTAATTAAATCTGATAAGGGGAAGTTTAGAGGTTGAGCGTATGAGATAATGGCTGTAACATTTGGTTTGGTTTGGTTTGGTTTATAGAAATGATTTTCCTTTACCGCTCCATGTGACACTCACTTGAGAAAATGATAAATAAATATAAAAATAAAATAATATTGAACGAAATTCATTCATCAATTGAACTATTAATTTCAGGACATTAGAGTAACAATCTGGTTTGCGTAGTTGTTGGGTTGGGCAATTGGAAAATTGTTATATTGGAAAAGAGTAAAGAAAATAACAATCAATTAAATAATAATGTGTAATTGTGCAATCAACGGTGTGGAATCGGCGGAGGCGGAGGTGGAGGTGGATTCCACTTCATAGAGGCGAGAGGCGAGAGGCGAGGCGCGCACGGAATTCTTGAACGAGATCTACCGCGGCACCGGACTTGCATTGCCAACTCTTATTTTCTCTCTCTTTCCTTCATCCAGCGGCGTCCACAACCTCTGTTTTCTTCATCATTCCTTTTCCATCTGGTGATTGAGATCCATCCGAAGCACTTCATCATCTCGATCTCTCTCGCGATTGGAATTCATCTACTGAATGCCATCTTTGGAACCCGCCATTAGTTCATGATTCTAAGACTTTGAGCATGGACTCCCAGCCTTCCCAATCGGGAAGGTCCCCGACCGAATATTCCAGCCTTCTCAGTAGAGAAACGACTCTTGGTCGAACTACTTCATCCTCCTCGCCTAAATCCAACCCCGATGCCAGCAGCCAGAGCTTGTCTTCAATTCTCAACAACCCTCACGCTGGCAAGTCCGATGCGTCCTGGGTTGGCTGGTGGTCCTCTTCGTCCACCGTCACCCCACCTGAGTTTATTCCCCTCACATCCTCCACAGCCTCATCCGAAGTTACTCGATTCGATTTTAACAACTACACGGCCTTGATCTCCGATTCTTATAACCGATTCGAGGACATACGAAACCATTCCAGCAAAGAGAACGGTGGCTTGGATAGCATTGGGGGCCAGGGGGAAGCCCTTGTGGCATGTTTGAGAGAGGTTCCGGCGCTTTACTTTAAGGAAGATTTCGCATTGGAGGACGGGGCGACATTCCGTGCAGCGTGCCCCTTCTTGAATGTATCGCAGAATTTAGTGCTGCAAGAGAAGCTTTCGCATTATTTAGATGTCGTGGAGTTGCATTTGGTCAAGGAAATTTCACTGCGTTCCAATTCTTTCTTCGAGGCTCAGGGGCAGCTACAAGACTTAAATGTGAAGATTGTGGAGGGATGTAGCCGGCTACGGCAATTAAAGGAGACCATACGGCTCTTGGATGTTGATTTAGTGGACTCTGCCAGGCAAATTCAGGAGCAGAATGCGACCAGGAACAATTTGTTGGCTCTTCAGCAGAAATTGAAGCTTATTTTATATGTTAATCAGGCCATTTCAGCTCTTAAATTGGTACTTTAATCAGTCCACTTTAGCTCTTAATTTGGTACTTCAATCAGTCCATTTTAGCTCTGAAATGGTTGCTTAATCAGTCCATTTCATCATACTTATGGTTCAATTTACTTGCTATGGTTTTTTTGTGCTTTCTGGGAAGTGCCTTTTATTCGCAAGTCTTTTACTCGTGTACTTGTTGTGGTCGATGCATTTGGTCATAGCAAATAGCAACTGTTGTCCGAAGGCTTGAAACCTTATAATTGGATCTTCTATTGCACAATCCTATGACCATGTTTAATCTTGAAGCTGTTAGTAATTAAAAAACAATGAAAATTTGCCAATACTTCTAGAATGATGCGGGAAGCTAATGTATTCAGGACTTGCGCAATAGTTTTTAGACACAGACTTGAGATCAACGAGGAAATCCAGATACATCGCTATCCTAAGAAAATAAATCTTGTATGGTTCTTCTGTCAAGATGTCTTAGCATGCTGGATAAAATTCAACTGAAGAATTCTTGCTCGTCTTTCTCCTAGTTAGTGTGTTGTGTGTGAAAGAAATTAAGAATGGACAGATAACCTTTTCCTTTAGTTCCCTTTTGGCATGGAATCAGGTTGTATTACCCCTGAGAGAGACCATACACCTTATTCTGGGTTCTACTGTTGTCATAACTTCTCAAAGAAAGCCAAAATTTTATGGTCAATGCCATTAGAGGTATTTTGTGGGAGGTTTGATTAAATAGAAATAGGAGTCTTTCCTGAAGTATTGGGCGGATGGAGTCTTGATGAAACTTAAGTTTTTCTTTCTGGAAGACCAATGTTGATTTTTTTATTTAATAAACCTTCAACAAAACTTGTGATAGCGAAAGAGAAAACATATACCACATAACTTCTCTTTACTTTTCATAAAGGTATGGTATCAGCCATAGGACTCTTATCTGGTATTGATGGTCGAAGCTAGTACCAATTGATTTATACTTTTGTTCGTGCAGCTTGTAGCATCGGCAGATTGTGCTGGAGCCTTGGATGTGACCGATGATTTATTACATCTTCTGGTATTTTCTCATCCAATGAATTAGATAGTTTTTACTTTTAACTATAATGTTTGTCTGTCCTATACAAGTTTCATTCTTAGTCTAGGATGTTGACAATAAAGTGTTGATATGTTCTATACTTCCCCTATTTATACATTCAGTTAATTTTTTTAATGTTTTTTGTTTAAATTATTTATTAGCTTTTGAAGTAAGAAATATACAATTTAATAAAAATGGAGGTATATATACAAGAATCTGGGTAGATTGGCTTCTTTTAGGGAGATGAAGTATTCTCTCTCTCTAAGCAAAACCTTGTCCCCCCGTCACCACTCCAATCTACCATAGATGGGCAATCATATTCGTAATCAACTTTCTCATAAACGGGAACAATAAAAATGGAAAAGAAGGCAGTGAAGATCGAGAATACATTTTTTGGTTTCTTTTGACAAAAAAAAAATAACGATTGTGGAAGGACACATTAAACATTCCTTCGAAGTTACCGTTGAAGAAATCATTGTTTTCTAGGTAGTTTATGCATTGGAAGACTTGCTCTCTACTCATTGTTCACAGAAGTTATTTAGGAAATGGAGTGCAATAGAGGCTTCATTTGGCTGCAAAAGATGACGAACAAAAGTGACAACTTTGTCTAGTTAACCAAAGTTTAGAGTTCAAGGGGCAAGAGAAACATTGTCATCCATTTTGAAGACTTCAAAGGTTGGACAGCTTCCAAAACGCTTTTTCCTGACTTTTTAAATGAAAAAGAAGACAAACCACGTGATTTCTCCATTGCTAGGAAAAAGGCTCCTGATACGTCTCAAAAAGGCTCTAAAAAATGGTAAAAAAAAAAAACGTGGAAAAATCAAAGATTGAATGTGTGGGATGCTTGTAGTTCACAACAAAAGTAGGCAGAAAAGATGTTAAGGCATTTGAATTGAGAAGAAACCATAGGGATTACACTATCACAATGTCTGGGGTAAGGTTCTTGAAACACTCCAAGCATAGACTAAATTCTTCTTCATTATCAACCCATGTCAACTTGACAAAGCCTCTTTAAATGCCTTGCTATGGAGTGTGCTCTTTTCTTGTTGCAAAGGATAGGTCCTTTTGGGGCCTATTACAACTAAGATGGATCTTTGGAATCCTCTCATTCATGGTCGAATTAGTGTTGTCTCTTCTTATGGGAGCTGGGTTAAATTGAGAAACATCCCTTGCACCTCTAGAGCGTGGAAACATTTAAAGCTGTGGGTGCCTTTGGAGGTTTCTTGGATTATTTTGACTGAAATTCTTGCCTCATTGATTTCTTGGAGGTTGCAATAAAGGTGAAAAGTAACTAATGTGGCTTTCTTCCTTCTGAAATCAAATTATTCAGTAGGTGATCTCTTTTTTGGCTCATGTTTGTATTTTTTAAGATAGTTATCGGCTAATCGAAACCAAATTAGAGGAGTTAGATAAGAAGATTATTAAGTCTCTGGAGCTTGGGACATATTGGCTGGTCTCTCTTAGAGAATGTGGAAACTTTGGGAGGGATTCTTATTATGTGGAACCTCATAAACATTACGGTATTGGATTTGGTTTTGGGCTATTGCTCTATCTCCATTAAGATTGCTTGCTTTGATAGTTTTAGGGGTTGGATGATCGACATGTATGGTCAGTCCTTCCGCGCTGAAGGCTAGAGATATGGTTTGACAAGAGCACTATGACCTTTATGGCCTATGTATGAATCACTGGTGTATAGGAGGAGATTTTCATATTGTCAGATGAATCGTTGAAAATTTAAGAGGGTGTTATATTACCATAAGCATGTGACAATTTAATACTCTTACTGAGGATTTTTTATTTGTCCATGAAACGCGATAACTTCACATGGTATTCTTTTAAGGATGCCCTCTCAAGCATGCGTATGAACAGATCTATAGTCCCACATGGTTGGCTTGATCACTTCAGAGACGTGGAGTTAGGCTTGATTATTCAAAACCACTTCATATTATTTTCCTCTTCTTTTATCTTCGGGTAACAATAAAGGAGGCTCTTCCCCTTTCAGGTTTGAAAGTCTTTGGTTTGATCATCTGCAGTTCTTTGCAAAAGTTGAGTCTTGGTGGAATTCAATGTAGTCGGTTGGGCTATGTGTTTGTGGAGAAGCTGAAAGTTTTAAATTGACGGGTTAGAGAGGGCTTAAATTGCTTCCTAAAATGTTGAAATAATGAGAAGTTTGGGAAAGTGGAAGATTCCAAATAGGTTACGTCATTTCTCAATTCTTCTAGTCAAACTCTCAAGCACCGAATTCATTTTCTTATTTATGATGATAGGGGATGTATTTAGTCCGGTTAATTCAACATAGAATCCTCAGTCTTTTTAGTTGGAAGGAACGATATTATGCTGGTTCAGAATCAGATCACCCAAAATTTTCTTCGTTGGTTTGAAAGTAAATATTTATTAGTTCAGTTTCTTATGTGTTTGTGCTTTAGGAGGGTGATGAACTTGCCGGTCTACATTGCTTTCGCCACCTCCGTGATCATGTGGCAGCATCACTCGAATCCATAACCAGGTAATATTTGCAATTTATTTTTGTACAAATGAGAAACACTTAAGAAAGAAGTATTAGGCGTTTAGAAACATCCAGTTACTTCTTTAGTGCACGTTGGGGAATCTCATCTATCATTACATTTAACAGCTTTCCATTCTGAACCATGCTATATACTGCATGCATTAACCATCAAAATATTCAATATAGTGCCATGCCCATTCCAAACGACCTTAATCATGAGGGGAACTGTTAAATTCCATGTTGGTATAGAAATGGCTGTCCATTTCATTTCTTCTTTTTTTTTTCTTTTTTTTTTTTTCTATTTTATCGATGGAAAAAAAAAACTATATAATTATATTGAGTTTCTAGGAAATTCATCATCAGGTTTAAAAGGTGAATAGAGTCTTCCTATAATTTTGATTCACTAGTTGAACAATTAATACTTTTGTTTCTTAAAGGTCCATTTTCTTTAAGCTAAATCTTGAAATTTATCACAATTGATTCTTATTATTTTTAACTGAGTGTCTTAGTTGATGCGTACCTCCATTAATTCTATGAGACAATTAACCACTGGGCCAGACCAAGGTGATTAAAGTCTACCCCAAAAAATCTTTGAGCTGTATGGTTCCTGGCAGACTCAATAGTCTGGTATATTCATATAAGTTTAGAACTGTGACCCTGGTTATCTTGCTGTGATAGTTGCCTATGATAAAAACGAGAAAAATTCACTCAGTGACGTGATAAGACAATGCCAGGTTAAATATGTAAAAACTTGTAAATGTTTACAGAAAAAGCATATTGTGTGATTATTTTTATATATGACATGAAGACGTGCTTCTGTCTTATTTTGCATCTTATTGTTTGTGTAACTTTGAAAATGAGTGGCTATGGAGGTAAGATACAAGTTTATTATAATATTTTTTCAATTCCCTCGAGAAGCTATTAATATATTTGTTTTGTGGTGTAGCATTCTTTCAGCAGAATTTATGCGTGCCTCAATTCATGATGCTGGAGATGTTGATCTCGTAATTATATCTGAAACAAAAGCAAGCATTTCAAATTTAATGAATGGAAAGGATGAAGTAAGTAAAATAATAGTACATAATACCTTGAAAATATTTGTTTTTCTGGTTTTCTGGTTTATCTTTTGCTATTTAGCTGAACTGAAGGATTGCTTATAATTTTTCTCTGTATTAGATTAACTATTGCAATATATTCTTACTTTGTAAAGAATATTATTTTTCTATATCTTAATTATTTCTACTTCTTATTTCTTTTATTGTCATTAGTTGAGGGCTAGTTTTATGACTTTCTTGCATGTAACATGTGGAATTCAAACTGTTGCAGGTCAAGTTAACATGTATCTTGGATGAGGAAGAAACCTCCAACTTTCGTGATCGTCTTCTTCCTATTATCATTGGATTGCTTAGGACCGTGAGTTCTCATTACCCTACTACATTTTTTGGTTGAAATATAGCTTTTTGATCCTTCCTCTCTGATTGGATGTTTGATCCTTCATTTGCGCATGAAAAGCCATAACCGTAACTATCAACTACCATATCATTTTATCTTGCTAATTATACAATTGAGGCAGTAACTGCTTTGACTCAATATCAACAGGACTTTATTTTGGACTTCTTGGAACGAAGGAAACAACATAAAATTTCATTTGGATGGGGATTTTCCCCTCTTGTACACTTCATAGCATCAATGGAACTGTTTCCTATTCAATAATAATAATAATTAAGACAGTAACTGATCACCCACAATTTCACTGGAACAATTCTCTCTCCCCCACCCCATGTGTTCTGATTTATCTGTCTTATGGTCAGTTTAAAGCTGTTGATATGTACTCTAGATAGGATTCTTGATATGACTTGATTATGGACATTAGAGTTATTTGACTATTGGTTTTGACGCTTGTTCTTGTTACCCTTTCTTTTAGCTTTTCAAATATTATTGAAAAGTTTGTTTCTATGTAAGTATATTACTTTCCAGTTCTGAACCAAATAATGGCATATATATTACTCTCCAGGCCAAGCTTCCCTCTGTGTTGAGGTTATATCGTGATGCAGTTACAGTTGATATGAAAACTGCTATTAAGAATGCAGTGGCAGAATTACTTCCCGTTCTTCTAGTCAGACCTCTAGACTCAGATTTTGCACCGGGAGAGAGAACGAAGGATACAGATGGTGAGATGTTGCTGAATCTGTATATTCATTTGTGTGGACAACACTAATGTTTGATTAGTCTTTTTTAATATAAAACAAAATAACGTCATCTGTATTTGTACATGATATGAAGTAATTTGATTGAAGAGGATGAATTTCACATGGTTAAATGGAAAAAGTCAAACTGAAATCAACAGCCTGAATGAAGTCGTATCCCCAATAAGTTGATAGGCTATAGTTAGTCTTTGATTTATCATGACAAATGTTGTGACCTTTAGCCTCTGTCAGATATATTTCCTATTTCATTATAAAATATTCTTCTAAATTTCTTTATGTATATGTATGTATGTGTATATGTGTGTGCGCACTCGCATATAAATATATGTTTCTTGTAAAGATATATTTTTTCATGACGAATTTGTGTCATCCAGTCTGCAATTTTTAAGTTTCTTTAATGCTGCTTTATTTCCCTGTTGTTCTCTTTTATGTGAATGATATTACAATTAAGTTGCTATTTAGGTGGAGCATCACTCGCAAGCAAGCTGAGGGGCCTGTCATCTGAAGGTTTTGTTCAACTTTTAAATGCCATTTTCAAGATTGTACAGGTAATTTTACTTGCTTAAATGTACTCTCTATATGATACACTTTATTTGTCCTTAATTGCTTCTAATTGATTATCTAGTTAAGACATTAGATTATTATATTGATGTCAGTGCTTCTTAAGTTTAAAAAAGGTCTCAGTTTGTGATTGATTCTGTTTTAATTTGTTGAGAATTGGACTTGGGATAGAATTGTTTTTTGTTTTTCTTTTTTATATAAGAAACAACAGAGACTTTATAACCCAAAAGGGCAAGCAGAACAACCTAAGGGTCGGGGGATGAGGGTTCCCCCGCCCAAGAAATTACTTACAAAAAGCCTTCCAATAAATAATAATCAAAGTTAGAGGATAATTAGAAAATAATAATTAAAAAAATAAAAAAAAAGCTAAAGCTTGATACACCACCGAGAAAATTTTGAAGTACAACAAAAAAAAAATAACAATATGGTTCTAGTTTTGTAGTACAACAAAAAAAATGTAGAAAAAAATAACAACCAGCATAAACACTGTCTTCGTCACTCCATGTTAAATAACTTTCCATATCAAACACAGACTTGATAAACCTAGACTAAGCAACTTTGTACCCCAAACATAATTAAAAAATTCAGCACCCCAAACATAGATTGTTTAACCCTACCGACCAAACACCTTTATACTTCATAACTTCACATAACATCCCAAACACCCCCTAAGCTTTTCACCATGCTAGAATTTTACTGGATGCATTATGATCTCTTTTCATTTAGTGAATGCAGGTACATTTGGTGCGTGCTGCAGAAGTGAAAAAGTCTATCGAATGGATTATGTGCAACCTTGATGGCCATTATGCTGCGGATTCAGTTGCTGCTGCAATTGCTACAGGTGCTGCAGCTTCTGGTACAGCTCAAGATAGTGATAACCAAGGTGGTTTGCCTCTTCCTCATGTACCTCAGGGTGCTGCCAAGGTTACTTCCTTACAGGGAAAAGCAAATGATGCGGCAAATCCTTCAAACATGTCTAGAAATTTCAGGTTAAGTGTTTTTTCCTATTTATGATATATTGGTAATTCCCTTCTTGTGATGTGTGTGTTTATGGGGGGGGTGTTCTGTGCTAATTTAGTTGAGTAGAACTAAGCGGGTGCAATTGAGTAAATCACCCCATACAAATTACCGTATTTGGTATACAGATGGATGCATCTATTCTCTCCCTATCACTGTTATATTTTGTTGATTAAGTAGTAATATTTAGCCCTTGCATAAAGTGTGCTCAGTTAGACTTACAAATAGAGGTTTTAGTCTAGGAGATCAACCTTCCTCAAAAGTGACCAGAATACCACAATTATAATGTTCAGGAAAGCTTGGAAAGAGTAAAATTAAAAATTAGGACAGTCTTACTGCCTTAACGCTGCACCAGACCAATTCTTGTCGTGAGCTGGGACAGCAAGGAAGATGCCTATGTTAAAGATAATCAGCTAGGAAGATGCCTACGTGAAAGATAATCTTAGCTCTGCTTCTAATATTTAGACCAGTAATTCAAATCTATTCTTTTGCAATTGCCCTTTCTGTAAGGAAACATAATCTAACTGATTTGGGTATGATGCTATGAAGCACATTCTTAATGGACTTCTCAGAAATTTATTGATTTTTTTTTTCTGATAAAAAGTTTGCTGCTGACTTGCTGAATTTTTTATTTGATACATTTGATTTACTATTGAAGCAATTTTATTGTAAACAGGGCTGATGTACTGCGAGAAAATACGGAAGCTGTCTTTGCAGCTTGTGATGCTGCTCATGGAAGATGGGCTAAACTTCTTGGTGTTCGCATTCTAGTTCACCCAAAGCTGAGGTTGCAGGAGTTTTTAAGCATATACAACATTACACAAGATTTTATAACGGCCACTGAAAAGGTACTCGGAAAAATTATCAGGAATATGAATCCATAGCTAATCAGAATATTCATGATTCCAATATTCTTCTAACTTAAACAGATTGGTGGAAGGTTGGGATATAGCATTCGTGGAACTTTGCAGTCCCAGGCCAAAGCTTTCGTTGATTTTCAGCATGAATTTCGTGTAAGTTTTTTATTTTCCTTTTATTTATTGATTTATTTATTGATTTATTTATTTTGTGTTATTGTCCTACTTAAATATTATTCATGGTTCATTAATTTATGACATTGTAGATGACAAAAATAAAAGCAGTGCTTGATGTTGAAACATGGGTTGAAGTGGATGTTCCCGATGAATTTCAAACCATAGCTGAATCACTATGTTTTCATGAGCTGCTTTCTGCAAAACTTGATGATGCTCAGGGTAATATGGAGCAAAGCTACAGTGATGTAGCTACAAATAATGAAGATGCACGCATTATAGGTGGTGTCAATGCTCAACAGCACTCTGAACAGGTTGATTCAAGTGACATTTCTGGGAGGAATACTGAACATGTGAAGCCTACTCCTGCAGATACAATTGAAAATAGTAAAGCTGATGTTGCAATTCCAGCCACACAAAATATCAATACACATGTGAAGGAACGTGGAAAATCAAGTTCTCTGACTTTGCAATACAAAGGCGTTGGTTATCACATGGTTAACTGGTCAGTTTCTTTCTTTTATACCTTTTCTGGACTAGATATCGAACCTTTTCTTCCTCCACAATCATTCTTAAATCAACTAGTTGATGCCTAGTCGTTGATCCTGACTTAATCTATTTGGTGTTCTGTCTTTATTTGGAGCTCTTTTATTTCTTGTGACATCACATTGTCACATTGAACCCAATTTGTTTCCTTCCTTGGTACGATGGAACTGATGTACAACATTGTTTATTAATTTTGATTAGCTTCATGAAATATACTTTCTTGCTGGGTGTCTCAAATAAAATTTGTCTTCTTTAATTTTCCCAGTGGGTTGATCTTGCTCAAGATGTTGTCTGAGTACGTTGACATGAATGATTCTTTGCCAGCACTATCTTCTGAAATCGTTCATCGTGTTGTGGAAATTCTCAAGTTTTTCAATACAAGGACTTGTCAACTTGTTCTTGGAGCTGGTGCTATGCAGGTTCTTTGTTTAGACACAATATATGTTGTTAACATAATGCTTCTATATTTGTTGCTTTAGCTACTAGTTTACTTGTAAATATGAAATTATCTGAATCCTTGGAGACTTACATGGCGATATCCTTGAGTGTTGACGGTTAAACCATTGCTTGTTTTTATTTTATTTTTTCTCTCTCGTAGGACCCTCTTTCATTTCAAACATAAGTTTGTATCTTGTTAAAAAAAAACTTATTGAAAATAATGTGGTTTTTTTTTTTTTTAACTTGATGTGTAGTTCTTTGAATATTATAAATCTTTTGTGCATAGCGCTTGGTCAATCATGCTTACCATGGAAACTCTGATTTTCAAATGGTAGGTTGGTCGCTCTTCCTCCTAAAAACTTAATTTGTATGCTGTTCCAGGTGTCTGGTTTGAAGTCCATCACATCCAAACACTTGGCTCTTGCCAGTCAAGTTATCAGTTTCACCTTCGCCATTATTCCTGGTACGTTGTAACAAAGTTTGAAGGCTTCAACTTTAATTCCCTATTATTGCTATTCTTAGCCCGATCAACTTTTTGTCTAGGAAATCATGTTTTGCTTAACCCTCTATGTTTCCGTCGCCTACTAAAACTAAAAATAAATTTTCTTCCTTTCTTGGAATCATTTGACGATTCTATTTTGTTCTCTTAAGGAAAAAAAAGGCTTGTATTGGAATTTTGAAGAAATCAGGAAGATGTATGCAAATAAGGGAGGACGTAAATTCTCTCAAGAAAAACACAAGGATCTGATCTAATTGGTTTTATCAAAAAGAAAGAGAACTACACAAATTTTCGTAAACCATTTAGAGATGAAGATAGAGAACTGTCATAGGTTCATTCTACAAACCCTTCTCTTTCTCTGTTAAACATGTGGTTCTTTCAAACTACATCTCCCATTAAACAGTACGTACCAAGCATTCCAAAGAATCAACAACAAAACTTGAACACCATCTGGGATATCAGTCCCAAAGCACCGGGAAAATGCATTTTGAGTCTAACTGCTCCTAATAAAGAGAGTACATCTTTGGAAAGATGTCGATCTAGAGAGTTCTATTTTTTTGTATTATCTTTGTGGAGAGCACCAAGGAAACCTTCGTATTTTCATTATATTTCAACAAATAAGGCTACTTATGATTAGCTTTCTTAATATTTAATCCAATATTTATGTTTCTCATAGAACATTATTGTTCATTATATTTTATTTACAATTCCGAGAATAGAATTTTTAGAAGTATAATGATTGAAAATGTTGACAATTATTTTTGGATAAGAAACATAAAGAAAGAGGAAATGTTGACCCTAGATCATGCTTGTTTGGAACCTTCAGAAGCATGTTGGATGTAGCCACCTGGCCTATACCTTTTGTTGTGCGTTCACTGAATTTAAACATTAAGCATGATAGAGAATTTAAATATTCCCGAGAAGATTAAATGGTACATAGAAGCTGCAAAATGCTTTGCGAAAACATTGTGTTTCAAAATATAATCTTTTCTATTTATAATGTATTTACCACTGGAGTTTATATTCTTTTATAGTGAATATGGGATTGGGAACTATTATAGTGCTCAATATTTTGAAGTAGTTTGACGTGTTTTCCTTCTTTTCATGACTTGACCTAGAAATGAGAAGAATCCTTTTTCTCAAGGTACCTGAGACACGAAAGACATTATTGCTCTCAGAGATTGATCGAGTGGCTCAAGTATATTTCTTTTCCCATACTTGTTGTATATTGATTATGCTGATTAGCCATGTGTGCTTACTGGTAACATATTGTAACATGTCTTCTTTTTTCCCGAAGATGGGGGGGGGGACTTGATAACACTGTAACCAACCCCAAAAGATTCATATGTAATTGACATCGAATTTTGATTGAGCAGCTACTTACTAAAGGGAGCGAAAACTGTGCAAGTATTCAATCTTTTTGGGTGCATGGGGTGAGACAAAGTGAAGAGTCTGGGACACGTTTTAAGGAAAAAATTATATATTTATTAGCTATCTTGGATGATCGGTAAATTGGTTATTTTCTAAGATCAATCTAATTTATTTTTATATTGTTGTTCGAAGTTGCATAATAGCTTCTTTTTTTTTTTTTTTTTTCCTAATTGTTAGTGTTTGGATAATAATAAAAAAAATAATAATAATAAATAAAAATTGGTTAGATTGCAAATTTGGTCCTTATTGCTAAAATCCTCCGAGACTATTTATGAAAGGTTTTATTAAACCATGAGAACAAAGTTCTAACTTTTATAGCCATAGAGACAAAATTTTAAATTTCAAGACCAAATTTTCTGTTAAACTTATATGTGTATGTGTGTATGCATATGTTCACTATATAAATTTTGAATTATTCTGGTACTACTTTTAGATTCCTGTTCTAGCCCCTGTATTATTACCCTTGAATTTTCTGACAGCTTTCTCTTACAAGATTTTGTATTAACGTCATTTCTTTAATAAAAGCTAAGTTTACAAGAACTGTCTGCTATTTATTTGCACCATTTATTGAATTATTTAATAATTTAGGATTACAAAGTTCACCGAGATGAAATTCATACTAAGCTGGTCCAGATAATGAGGGAAAGGTTATTAGTACATCTACGTGGCCTGCCGCAAATTGTTGAAAGTTGGAATAGACTCGAGGATGCTGACACTCAGCCCAGTCAGTTTGCTCGATCCCTTACCAAGGTAGCTACATGAATTCATTAATCAAACCAGTATATCTTAGTTTGACAATAGCCTGTTTCTCTAGTTACTTTAGATGCCTATCTTGTGTACCATGTCAATTAAGGGATTCGTTCTCTCTTCAATATCCAAGTCCTTTTTTGCACTTTGCATGTACGAATGTAGTTGGTGCATAACAGCACAAGTTATTTCACAAGTTTGATTGAATGCTCTTTGCTTTTAATTGTACTATTTTTTGCCTTGTTTCTATACACATTTCCAATTGACTTGGGTTGAAATCATTGCTATCCAGGAAGTTGGATACCTTCAGCGTGTTTTATCTCGAACCTTACATGAGGCTGATGTTAAGGCAATATTTAGGTAAGTTGTACTATAATGAATGCACTGCTAAAGTTTTATCCAGACCTTCTCTTGGTATGTTGAAAACTTTTCGCCCTCTTTCATAACCATTTGATTTTAGCTTTGATTTTTGAAAACTAAACTTTAGTTTCATATAGTGTTTTCAAAAGTCGAGCTAAGTTTTGAGAACTTTAAAATAGTTTTAAAAAACTTGTTTCTTTTAGGAATTTGGGAGAAAACAAGTACAATTTAAAAAAAAAATAATTATTATTATCAAACATGTTGTATGTCTAATTTTGTTTCATAGATAAAACATTTCACAGTAAATATATTTTTCATGCAAGGAGAACAAGTTAAAAACTCTCCAAAGTTTCTCCGTGAACGAGATTACCACCGGAGATGCACATAATGGTTTCTTTTAGTTTATGAGTTCTGAAGCAGACCAATTACGAGATACATATGTTGGTTCCTGTTGTAGATATATTAAGCAAACTCGGATCTTTTAATTGGGCTTTTTCCTTTTCCTTTTCCTTGCTTTTTTTTTTTTTTTTTTTTTTTTTTTTTTTTTTTTTTTTTTTTTTTTTTTTTTTGTTTGTTTGTTTGTTTGTTTGGAAAGAAAAAAATAGATTACCGCTAAATTTATAGCCGAATGTAAATAAAACATGTTTCCCGTTCTACTACTTAGAAGTTAATTAGTTCCTTTGGTGCGATCTTCAGGCAAGTGGTCAAAATCTTCCATTTACAAATTTCTGAGGCATTTTCACGGTTAGATATAAGCACCCCTCAAGCAAAAGACAGGTAATGCCCCTTTGTCCTTCTGGAACGGAGGACATCATCACCTGTTTAACTTATCACTGAAACATTATTACAATATGCTCCTTGTTCTGACACCCTTTTTCTATTGCATACCAGGTTGCTTCGGGATGTTAAGCACATTCTTGGCTGCATAAGATCTTTGCCTTGTGATGATTCGAGTAAACCTGACATCCCAAACTGGGGGCAACTTGATGAATTCTTGGACCAGAGACTTGGATCTGAAGCTGGATAATGATGTGAATGTGTATTTGCCATTGTTTGCTTTTTTGATGAAGGGGGTCATATTTGAGGAGTAAATAACAGGATATCAGAAGTCAATTTTCAACCTATGTCATCTCCCTTGTACACCTAAAAATCAAGGTATGATGTAAAAAATCCTTGTCCCGACTAATTTTTTGATGGATCTTAGGAGGTAAAGGTTTAACCACTTATGAAATAAAATCGAAGTCACATACCCATAAAATTTATGAGCACTACTTTTGTTTTCATTGCTCGTACTATATGAGGAGCTGCGTTGGCCTCCAAAACTCAATTCATATGTTGCTCTCCTGGATACTACATAGCAACCTATGTATGATTCCTACAACTAATTTGAACTGCATAAAGTTCTGTCTTGTCTTTTGTTTCCCCTTTTCTAATCTGACGTATAGTGCTTAAGACATTAGGCATGTCAATTAGATTTTCATAGTAATGTAGTGAACGTTTTCATTTTTGCGTACGTTTTCCACTTTATACTCTGGATCCCAAATCAGCACAACGTGAACTTTATTTATCAAATGAAATTGTACTGTATCATTGAACTTCACCTTTTATGCAATATCTTCCGAATGATTTGTGTTGTGTACTAACCATCGGGAAGCTTCCAGGTTTTGCGATTCTCATGGACAGGCGTGAAGTACAGTTTGGGATTCAGATATTTCAACGAAGTTGGGCCTTGCCCTGTTTGCTGAAACACATAACATATTATATGTTGTATTGGCTAGGCCAACGCTTTTTGCTGCCCTAATTGTAGTTATGTTTAGAGAAAGAACAGATCAATTTGTTTACTCGAATAGATTTTAGTTCCTTGCTTTCTTTTCTTTTCCCCCTTCAATTCCAATGGCCTTTCGTACAGTTTCGCATGTTTGTACCTTGTAGAGCTAAATTTGTCATTATTGCCTATAAATAATTTTGCTTACCGCTGGCTATGGCATCTCTTATAGGATGCAAAAAAAAATTTATTTCAGTTTTTCCATTTGCACTTGCACCCCTTCTCCTGTTATGCATATAATTTCTGAACATCTAGTATGTCTTTCGGACTCTCTACCTTCGGGGCCGATGTTTTAAAATTTTAGCTTGTGTGTGTTGTGGTACTAAAGTGATAGTAATTTGAAGAAAATGAAGGGTTTAATGTGGAAGCTGCTACGGTGGAGTACATTGGAAAGGAATTTAAAATTAGGGTTTGAAAGAAAATGATGAGAAAGAGAAGGGATGCGGAGAATAATGGAGTTTGAATATTAAGTGAGAGCGCATTCATATTTGAAAATGGGAGGGTGAAGGTGAAGTTTGAGGTTGTTGGGTTCAATTTAGGAAATTAAAGCATGTGATGTCTGTGGAAGGAGAGAGGGTTGAAGTGGACGTAAAACTGTGTCGTTTCCGTTTTTAGTCGTAATATTCTGTGTGTTTGCAGCCACCGCCCATATGATTTTTTTTTTTTTTAATATAAAATAATAATAATAATAATAATAATAATAATAATCATAATAAATGTGGAATTAAACGGGGGTGGGAAGACAAAAGGGAGAGAGGGAAGAGAAATGGGTAAAAGGGGGAAGGAAGTGGTTTTAGGGTGTGATTATGGGAGTCTCCCAATTTGGCAAATTCCATAAAGCAGCGCAGAGAGTGGTTATGTGTCGCCATTTCACTTCCTACTTTTTTCTCCCTAGTAACCCCCTCCCATTCCAATCTTTTTCTTTCTTTTTTTCTTTTCTTTTTATAAATATTAGTAAATAATATATATACTTGGAAGCCTCATGCAGCACTCAGTATACGTTTATATATATAAAGAAAGAAAGAGAGAGAGCCTGATTAGCTAGGGTTATCCTTCTTATGTTGAAGCTAGGAAGAATAAGAAGAAGAAGAAGAATAAGAAGAAGAAGAAGAAGAAGAAGAAGACTGAAGCAGACAGTAATAAAAGTTGAAATCCGAAATGGGCAGAGGAAAAATCGCGATCAGGAGAATCGAAAATCGGACGACAAGGCAGGTTACGTTCTCTAAGCGGCGAGCCGGGCTGTTCAAGAAGACTCATGAACTCTCCGTTCTGTGTGACGCACAGATCGCCCTCATCGTCTTCTCCAGTAACGGCAAGTTGTTTGAATACTGCAGCCAGGCAACCTGGTGAGTTCACTTCCTTTTCTTTTCTTTTCTTTTCTTTTCTTTTCTTTTTCTTTATACAAACTTTCAAATGTGTTTCATTCAGCAGCATGGATCAAATAATCAGGCGCTACCAGATTGCCATCGGGAACCCTATTCCGGACCAGAATATGAACGACCCGGTACGTATGTTTATTTCATTTCATTTTATTTTATTTTATTACATACATAAATATATATATATATATATTAACAGGGAGAGAGAGCGAGAGACAGAATATTATAATGTATATACATATGTACAGGAAGAATTGGAGAGGCTGTTGCGGATTATGAGAAAAGACACAGACGAGCTTCAGCTGAGCTTGCAGCGCTACACGGCGGAGGATTTGAGCACTTTCCAGCTTCGCGATCTCGACGAAATCGAGAACCGTCTCCAAACCTCCCTCAACAGAGTTCGAGCTCGAAAGGCAATTAATTAATTAATGCCCTCTACTTCATTTTTCTTTTTTCTTTTTTCTTTTTTCTTTTTTCCTTTTTTATTTTTCTTTTTTCTTTTTGGCTGGTGCAGTCAGAGGTGTTACAGCAGCAAGTGGAAAACCTGCGGAGGAAGGTAGAGATATATATATATATATATATATTAATTTATTTAATTAATATTCGCATATTTTTAATTAAGGTTTTCATGATTCTGGATGATGATGCATGCTGCGTGGTGCTGTAGGAGAAAATGCTGGAGGATGAAAATGAACAAATCTACCATTTGGTAATTAATTAATTAATATTAGTAAATCCATATTTGATTACTGGAAATTAAACAATAAGGTTAGTGTAGATAAAAGAGCAGCAGATGGCGATGGAGGAGCAGCAGCAGGTAGCGGCGGCGATGATGATGCAGAAACGAAGAAGCGAAGAGGAAGAGATGAGAATTAGGAGGCCGGGAGATCATCATCAGCAGCAGCAGCATCAGCAGCAGCATCATCATCATCATCATCATGGCGTTGAAGATGAAGCAGTTGTATGTATGGAAGGCGATGATGGTGATCATGGCGATGCTTTCGGGTTCAGTAATCCTCACATTATCCATCCCCACCTTCAGCTTCAGCTTCATCCTCACGAGCCCAACAGCGTTCTTCAGCTGGGCGGCCCACTCCCTCCTCCTCCGCCGCCCTTCCTCCACCCCTACCGCCTTCAGCCCTTTCAGCCCAACCTCCATTCCTCCACTACTTACGCTACCCCTTGACTTCAGCTTCATCACATACAATCAAAGATATGGTGCACACTAGGAGTGATGGGCGGTAAACAAGGAGGCCTCCTCATGCCACAATTTAGCTGACAACCCCCAATTATATATCATTTATATTCTAAACTTTCTTTCATGTCTCAACAAATACTCATTTATATGACTCTCTTTTATTTTTCTGCTCCTACTCAACTTCCCCTTTCTTCATTTGCTTTCTCCACCTTATTTATTCTATATTTTATATCATCAACTTTGCTTCATTCGTTTTTATTCCCTACTTTTTCTCTATTAAAAAAAATAATAAAATTTATATAAGTTTTTAGAAGCTTCAAATCTATTCTTAATTACTAACTGATTAATGAATTTCAATTTTTGTAACTATTATAGAATCACTAGCTTCGTGCATTGTTCCCAGCTCTTAATATATGGGTGTTGAAGTTTACATCGTACTAATTTTTTAAATAATTTGCAATTAAGTAAACAAATTTACATCACACTATTTAAATTAGTTAACCGACCAAATGTAGATGTTAATAGTGAAATTTCAATAGTAAAATAGTAGAGTACTAAAATTCGTTCAAGAATAATAATATAATCCATTAAATCTACCTAATAAATTGGTATTTTTATACACAATAAAATAAAATAAAATAAAAATGTTAATATCCCTCTCTTTTGATGGTTTGATTAATTTATTAACCTTTTTATTGTTCCATGGCGTGACATTTGGCGACACAATTGATCCGCCATCCATCGCAGCCTTTGGGCAAGGAAGTTGACTGGAAGGCGACATGGTTTTCCGATTGTTTAGTCATTTCATTGCCCAAATTCACTCATCTGAGAGAGAAATCGTAGTTGGAACTTGGAAGTTCATCGGCACTTCTTTTTGGCGGTTCGAAGTTATCTGTACTGTATTCCAGCACCAGAGCTCTGCAGATCTTTACTATGCTCATCTCTTCTGTTCCTCAATTAATCAACATCTTTTTAAGTAGAGCCTTCCATTTTCAGAACGCCGTTTTTATTATCCTGGATGGATCCAGCCTGGCGTTTCAATCAATGCAGCACCCTCTTGTCCGTTGTGGGGAGCTTAAATTTATGTTTCACAATATTTACTCAACTCTAAACGTAATTGACCTTTTTTGTTTCGAAATTGGGGGTTTATGTTATTCTGATTTTCCGAGCTTTCATTGAATGAATGTTTCTTGAATTTCAGCTTTACAACGTGACTGTTTCAGTAGAGACCCTACTTGAACACATTTGTTTTGCTCTTGTGCAATTACTCTGCATCCCTTTTTCCCCACTCTTTTTTGAACCAAGTACTCCTGCTTCAGCACATGGATGCTATCACTATTGCAGTGGTTAGGCAACATTGAGAAATTAAGGCTATGTTTCATTTCCTTTGCAACATTTTGTTAAGGGGTCATCTGGGTCCTTTCATATATTGCCGATTTAGAGGGTGATTAAGGAGGCTCCTTCTCTCCAGGGGAGAATGGCTTCAATGATTGAATGACTTGGTATGCCTTGATTCTCATTTGCGGTGCGTACTTAAATTTTTGTAATCGTATGCGAACAGATCATGGGTTAATTGAACTGATATGGGATGTGCAAAGTGCAGTAAATATAGCATTTGGATGTCTCTTGTGGACTTCTAATATGATATTATTTTCTATATGTGTACGCATATATATAATCTTTTGTCCATTACATCAAGCCAAGTAATTTCTAATTTTTCCTCTTTTGGAGGATCTATGAGTTCTTTCTTCCCCTGTTTTAATGTACTCGTCCTATTTTTCTCTTCATTGAAACTAAACAACTTTCCACTTTTTTGGAGCATTTCCCCCCTCCCTTTCTCTCTCTCTCTCACACACACACACATTTTCTCCCTTTGTTCTAAAAATATGGAGAAGAATTACTGATTTAAGCTCTACCTTTATCTTCATAGGCATATGCCCGACAAAGAACTTAGTGGACAAACCTGAAATCAGAAGGTTTGTCCACTTAGTCTAGACCTGAAAGTCATGTTTCAGGTCATCGTTCCACTCTTGTGTAAATACTATACTAATTGAATTTTTCTTTCTTTTTTTTTTTCTGGCTATATGATAACTCGATCGGCATGTATAGAACTATAGTCCCAGTATTATGGAAATGCTACATGTAGCCTTTCAGGTTGTTGCGTATTTATTGAGTCGCTTGAGGTACGTCTTTATTGGCTAAATATGTGTAGTTTTGTGCTACGGACATATACATAATGGTATGGGGAACATATACAATCAATCCACCTGCTGCATATATGATTTCCACATAGATTTAATGACTAGAGACAACATCAATCTTTTAGCAATCAAGAAAAGACAAGACAACTCAACTAGTAGCTTTCACATCAGTTCTTCTAGGTAACATTTTGGCTAATGGTGAGAATCAGGAGTAGTTTAGCTACATGCTTCATTTCTCATGATAACATGTCTGGTTGTATTCACAAAAGAATCTGAAGTTGCATTCAAGAAAGAATGATGCTATGTTTCTCCCTGCTGACATGTTTTAGTCATTCAACAACTCTTGACAACAATTGAACAATATAGGCTGCACTTATTTGTTTCTCCATGAGTTCCATATTTGGTTTGAATTTCTTGGGACTCAAATCCCAGATCTATAGTTCTTAGATCTGTTAGCCCCTACTGTTGATTTCTTTAATCATTTTATGTATATATATATATTTAATGATCACAGAGGAGGTCAACTGACTCTATCTTCCTTGTTTATGATGATTTTCCTGATACAATAGTATCAGTTGCAGTTGAAGAGAGGCAATTATGTAAGTTGAATTAGAACCAGAGACGAGTTGTATTGTACCCACCCATCCACCCATCCACCCACCCTACTGATACTCGTTGTGGTTGAACTCAAACTAAGCGTAAGAGTTGATGAGCCATAATTAAGAGACAATTTGGTTACATCACGCTCTCAGTTGCAGCCATAATTAAGAGACAAAGTGGGAGGCTCTTATTTCCACATGTCAACTCAACTCACGTCGCTGCTCAGCAAAGCCTGGAAGCCTTGATGTTTCCAATTTCCTTCAACTCTGTGCTGAGGTTGTTGCACTGCAGGCCTTTGTAAATACTGTGGCTGTCCTTTGACAGGGCTGACGAGCATGGCCCAGCACTGCATTGGTGCAACAAATATCAATATGAATTTAAAACACCGCTATCAGCCGTCTGGTCAAGTACCCTCCCCTCCCTCCTCATAATTCATCCAATCCTATCAAATATATTAAGTTCAACTTTAATCCCCATCAAACATATTATTAACTTGAGAAAAAAAACGACAAAAACATATGTTGAGGTTTTGTCTAGTATGTTCTTTCCTCGGGCCCGTTAATGAAAACAAAATTTGATTAGAGCTCATGTTAACCCATTTGATTATATAGATTAAAAAGAATATATTTATCTATCTATATATATATATATAAAAACACTAGATATTTCAAGATTTTGCTCTCGAGATTTAAAAAAAACTAAAATAATTAATATACTAATCCAGATTGTGGTATTAAAAAATTAAGGGCAATTAAGTTATTCAGTAGAAGAGGAAAAGAACGAAGCAACTATGTAGATGCCTCTCCCGAGTTAATCGGTGGGCTCAGTTTCAGATCAATCCAGATGGATATGGCGGGAAAAGCGCCTCCTGCAAAAAAAAAAAAAAAAAAAAAAAAAAAAAAAAAAAAAAAAAAAAAAAAAAAAAAAAAAAAAAAAAAAAAAAAAAAGTAAATAAAATAAATCGAGCGCCGCTACTTGTAGTATTATCATAATCGACATGAACACAGAGATAGACGATCTGGCACTGAAATGTACAAATTGGAAAGAAAAGGAGAGCGGAGGAATTGCAGGGAAGCGAATCGAAGAACGGAGGCGGAGATACAAAGAGGCTATGAGTCTTCTTCATCTTCTTCTTCTTCTTCTTCTTCTTCTTCTTCTTCTTCTTCTTCTTCTTCTTCCATATTCTCAGTGTTTCTCTGTGTTGTTGGGGAAAGAGAAGGGCTGAACCGAGGAAAAAGGAAAGTGCGCAACCTGAAGGCTGAAGCGAAGTGCGTAAAGGCTCTATGGATGGCACGTGGCGAGAATCCAGTGGTTTGGGTTCCTTGGAGGCTTCAACAGCAACAACCCAAAACCCAACGCCAACATATGCACAAAACAACCCACAATCACAATGTCAATCTCTCTCTCTCTTCTGCCATGTCAGAGTGTAACCCCGTCCTATGACCCCGGCGAATCCGTATTTCATTTCTCTGCTTCCCTTTCCTTAAATTCCCTCTCTCTGTTTATTCATCTCTCTCTTTGATTCCCTCTCTCTCATCCCCAACTTTCCGAGCCCTAACTCTCGAACCTCCTTACTCTCCTCCCACCCTCAATCACATACTAGCATGCTCTGTTTTCCCTTTTGATCCACAGGTAAGCCTTCTGAGCTTCTTAATTTTTCTGGGCCACTGTCTTTTTTCCTTTAATTTAGTCATGTTTTGCCCAATATGAGTCGCTCTTTGTGGAATCGTGCAATTTCACCTTACCCCATGTCTGCTTTCTGACTACTTTGTGTAGATGGAGTGTTTGATTCCTACAATGTATTTGTTCATAAACTTTTGATTGTTGTTCAAGTTGATATTTTCGAAGGGTTTGCTAATTGGGGTTTTGACTATGGCATCATATTTAGTTACTGAATGGGGGTTTGAGGTTAGGTGTGTTAATTTCAGTACATGCGTAGGTTGCTAAGATTTTATGAATTTTCACTTTTATCATTGTAGATAGTCTACATTTGCAGCTTTGGGTGCTTGTGAGATTCTGGGCATGTCGTTTGCTTTACTTGATAGTAACATATATCAATGCAGTAGTTGGACTTCTTCTGGGTGATCTGCATATTGTTATTCTTCTCAGCTTTTTAATTTCCTTCATTTAATGCACTCGTCACTTACACGTGTTACAAAGCATGTAGTTGATTTGTCCCTCATGCTCCATTTTGTTAATTGGGTTTATTTTCTTTAAGATTGTTAGAATACATTTAATTTACTGCTTAACTAGCCTAGTCATGATCATGAACTGTGTTGGCACGCCAATGGGAGGAATTTCATATGCTTTACATTTTTATTCCCACGACACACGCATTACTTTTGCGTAAGGAACTCTGAATCACAGCCTTATTATTCTGGATAGAACTAGCATTTTGAGGCATCTTTTCAAGTATTGAATTCTTAGATTAAACTTCTCGTCAAAAGTTTGGTTCCATTTAATTTTAAAGAGGTATAGCTCTATTGATGAATTGACTAGCGTTAAGTTCAAAGTAATAGTGGTTTCTGGATAATAATTTCCTTTTCTGATTAGAGAGGAGAAGTTTCACTTTTGTGGCCTATTTAAATAGCTTGGCTTATATATTTTGGATCTTTAGGGCATAAATAATATTACGGTCAAAAGTTTGGTGGCAGACAGTAGTTGTGGGATCGGTAAAATAAATAAAAAATAAACTAAACTTAAACTTTGACTGTCCTTTATATTCAAGACCCAACCAGTCTTACTACACAACTATGAGTTGGCTTACTTTCAAGGGGCATATGAGAACACTAGAGGGAATTTAGAGGAATTTGTCAAATCTCATGCCCCCCATATACCTAAAATAAAATCCTGTAAATTTCTTGATAGCTAAATAGAGTCAAATATGTGTAAGCTAGCTTGGATACTCACATTATTGAAAAAAGAACTATTATTCATACTAGTTGTGTGAAATTTTTGCTGATATTGGTGAATAAGGTTCATAATAGACCTAATGATGAGAGCAAAAGGTGCCTTTTTATGAGAGGTAGGGTAACTCTTGTCCTTTCAGTCTTGCACACTTTACCTCTTGCTTTACCTTTTATAAGGTGGCTCAAGGGATTGGAAAGAAATGGGGAATTTCTTGCAAGAAGGTGATATAAAGGAATGAGAGATCTTATAGTGAATCGAAATTTGGTTGTTGGGTTTTTAGTATAAAGGTGGGTTTGGGATTGACATTTGGGAATTGAACTTTTTTATTTTTACATGATCATATTCGTTTTCTTATAAATTAGGCTGTCTTTGGATGTGATAGGTTGAAGGAAGTATGGATTCACATCAATTGATGAATTAAAAACATTCAGGTATATCCGTGTTTCTGTTGAAATGAAAGAGTGCCTTAGAAATAAATGCAAAAAGGAACAATTACTTGGTCTCTTGTTCTTCAGCTTTTTCATAAAAGAAAGTGATATAATGTTAGTATCTGTAACTTACAGTGGATATTATTGCTATTGTTCAAAAATGGCGTTGGAGTAGGTTGATGTGGAGGCTTTTGTTTTATATGAAAAATGAATATATTATTGAAGTATAAGTGACTATGTTTTTGAGATGCTCTGCTGAACATCAACTTAACAGCAACTGCGTTTTCTAGATGCTCTTCCTGCATGACTTTTGTGCCAACTCATGATGTGGTACATGTGTTTTTTTTTTCCCCGAGACTCAGGGTTAAGGTATGAAGGAGGATGAATCATCAAGTAGTAAAGTTATTAGCAGAAATTGGGTCATGAAACGCAAAAGGAGAAAGATTCCTACTGCTACTGATTTTCCCACTAAAAGGGAAGACAATTCACTTGCAATAGAATCCCCTCGGAGCGTTTCTTTGGCTAAAGGGAAGGTGAAAAGTGAAGTATGTCGCAACCAGTTTTCATCCAAGAAGAAAGGAAATGATGGGGTGAGTTCCATTTTGTCTGACTAGAATAGCTCCATTAGTCTTTTGTTTGCATGTTTAAGGTAATGTTCTAGCATGCATCATTCGATCTTTTCCAACTATTTATGCTAATATTAGGCCATGGATGCACTTGCTTCTCCAAGTTGAATATGCTTATTATTTGTTGATTCAGTATTTCTTTGAATGCGTGGTCTGTGATCTTGGTGGTAACTTGTTATGCTGTGATAGCTGTCCAAGGACCTACCATCTTCAATGTCTTAATCCACCCCTTAAGGTTTGTTGATTCAATCTTTAATTTGCTACTGGGACAGACATTTACCCTTTCTGCTACTGGCCATTCAAATAATTGTTTTGCCGAGATTTTCTATTTTTTTAAAAACAAGGTTTGCAATGCTCTGGTCTAACTTTTGCATGAATCTGATATTTATTGAAGCGGATCCCCATGGGTAAGTGGCTTTGCCCAAGCTGCAATCAGAAGAATGATTTACCATTACATACCACAAGCTATTTAGACCCCATATCTAAGCGAGCAAGAACAAAAGTAGTTGGTGCAAAATGTAAAAATGGAATTAAATCTGCTGACACTGTGAAAGTGTCCCAGATATTTGGAAGTTCCATTCTTGCCAAGAAGAGATCTTCCATCAGGAGAAAATCAATATTGGCTAATAAAGTAAAGAGTTTTGGAAGGAAATCATCCAATGTAGACGTGTCTTGTAGTGCCAAGCTAAGTCATCCATCGGATGGTAATACTGAAACAAGTGTATCTTCTCCTGCCAACGTTGATGATGAAAAGTTATGCAATGCATCTCCATCAAACTCTCAAACAGAAGAGAAGTCGGTTCCTGCTGTTCTGGAGGTTATATCTCATTCAAAAGCAGAAAAATTAGAGCCATGTGATGAGGTTCCTGATAAGAATCCTGATATGCTTGAAAACAAGCTTGGAGTTTCTTGTGAGGATGCATCTCCGAGTAAGAACCTTGTTCTTGCAGTCAGTGCTGCGATGAAGCAAACAAGAAAAAGGAAAAAAAAGATCAATAAAAATGTTGGTCAGAAGAAGCATAAAAATGGAAAGGCAACGTGTGTAGCTACCACTTCAAAAAAACATGGATGCAAAGTAGATGCTCCTAGTCCTGGAAATAGTAAATCAGTACGGAAACATAAACATGTTGACCATGACATACCTACTTCGTCTTCGAAGGAAGAGATTGGGACTAAGAATTCAGATCTTGAGAGAAAAGATGAGGTACCTCTAATACTCTCATTTCTTCATTTGTGCTTCTTAGGATGTCTTATGCATGAACAACAAGTTTACTGGAGTTTGACATTTTTTTGTTTTCTCAGCTACCTACGACCTCACACTCCGTTGTTTCTGTTTTATGCAGTGAATAGATTTTTTTTCTCCGTCAAATGCTTCTTTTCTCCTGTTAAATCCACCATATAGGATATTAATTTGATTGATTTAGGGCCACATGCTAGTTTAACGTAACATTGGTAATTACTTTGTTTAGGCCACCTACTTTGTTGAATAACACTTTGCTGTGATGAATATGACACTGGTTCCTGTGTGTTTGTGAGAGATGTAGAGAGTGAGCGAGTGTATTTCAAGCACCTCTTACTTCTGCTTCACATATCTAAAGGACAGTGGTCAATGTGCTTGAAAAATATCCAACTAATTTTCTCTACTAGTTTTTTTTTCTGAGTTCAACCACATGTAGGGTTTGGGTTTCGATCTTTTGGTCAGGATACATGCCTTAAGTAGTTGAGTTATACGCAGGTTGACGTGTTTCTCTCTCTCACCCTTTTTTTTTTTATAAACAAAACTTTTTCATTGATGTAGTGAAGTGACCATACGTGAGCGTAGGATTCTCATTAGAATTTTATGGGAGGACCCCCAATTTAGTACAAAATGAATATTCAAATGAATACCAATATGAAACTGGAATTCAGCCAAATTCGAAACTTCCTCCCTACTCCACTCATTGATCTTAAAGAATTGGTGGGTTGTTCGAATATTATTAGTAGTTGGGATTGTTTCTTCTCTAATGTGGGTAGGGTGAGTTACTTGCAATCTGGTTTATAGTATGGTTCTTGTCAGAGGATTGGTTTTTGCTTTATTTTGTTCAGGTAAAGCTTTGTAAAATTTTGTACTCTACTAGTCGAGACTTTTGAAGAATGGCCAACCACTATTTGGATCACAAATTTCCCGTGTTCACTCATGATTTTGGCTGTCCCTTGGCTTGTTGGGATTCTATGAAGTTTAGTTTA